CAAAATAAAATTCAGAATAAAGATCCAATCAAAATTTATCAGGCATGCAAAGAACTGTTTGTTTGTTTGTTTGTTTGCTCTAGAGATCAGAATCCAGGGCTTCAAGCATGTACTTGACTACTGAGCTACATCTTCAGCCCTATTCTATTATTTTTACGAAATGTCTTGGGGTTTACTGAATCTTAAATTTTCTTAAAAACAAAAAACTGTCATCTTTGTCATTTTCACCATGTGTGTTAATCTCAAAATTCCTCCTCCACATGATTAAATTGCTATTTCCCACAAGAATTAAGCACTTCTAAGGCAAGCAGCATGGTGACGAAAAGCACAAGCAACAGAAAAATCAAGACCTCGATTTTTTTCTTCTCAATTTATCTCTGTGCACCAAAAAAACCAATGAACCCGAGTTTCAGCTCACTTTGCTATAAAATGAGCATAACATTTGCTGCATAGGGCTGTTATAAACAATCCAAAATAAACCATAGTAGCTACTGTTTCATAATATCACATTATAAGAAAAGTTACCATACCACATATTCAAGCATTTCCCAAATACCTATTCCTGTACTAGGTAGTACACAGGCACTTGGAATAAGAAAGAACACCACTGAGAGGATCTAAAGTATATCTTATGTTAAACCTACATTTAAAAGTTCATTTCAAGTACAAACTTCATATTCTATTTCTTAATTTCTAAGTAGGGCAATTATTTTAAGTTCCTCCTATAAAAATTAAAGGATTTTTTTTTCCCTTTGAAAGGAAAAATAATCTAAGAAGCTGTCAGGTTCAACCAATTAGGACATGTCTGAGAAATACTTGGAATCTGAAAAACATGGTAAAACCTTAATTTAAAAGCAACCTGCAATTAACATCACCTTTCAAAATTATTCTCAAATTAGTAGACTAAATTATATTCAGACATAAAATGGACCAATCTGTTATTATGATAATCTTTTCAGAAAGGCTGTGCCAACAGATGTAAGGAACTAAAATCAAGTTCAAGTTTGTATTTCATTTGCTCATCCATTTAAATGACAGATGGTTTAAATATTAACCCTATTAATAAAATGTTTGCATATTCATTATAAATCTGATTAACTTACATCATAGCTTCATAAATTTATTGTGTTAATTTTGCTGCCCACTTCATTCAAGGCCTTCTAAATCCCTGCCCCTCAGAGTGTGGTCCCTAAATTAAAAGCATCCATGTCTACCTGAGAACTCATTAGAAATGCAGAACCTCACATCCGACACTACATGTACTCAACGGAGTCAGAATCTACATTGCTAACAAAATCCCCAGATTTCTATGCATATTAAAGTCTGAGTAGCACAACTATAAAATGTTCCTTTTTTGCCCACTTTAATTTTTCTTCTTTGCTGTTACAAAAAGCTTATTTACTTCCTAATTGTTAATTTCTCTCCAGATTACTTTTAATGATAATAATTCAATTCAGAGAATTAAATGATACATATATGTAATACTGTTTTTGTTTGTTTGTTTTTAGTGCCAGGAACTGAACTCAGAGCCTCACGCTTGCCAGGCAGGTGTTGTACCACTGACCTCTATGCTTAGCCCCTGTATAGTCTCTATATCTCAGATTTGACTTTACCTGTCAACTAGGACTTCAAGCCTTAGAAGTCTTGTACTACTCATTATTTCTCTTGGGTTGACATTTTTGTTTTAGCATAGGGCCACAGTGATACAAGTCTTCTAATTAAGTAACGGTCCAGAACAGATTCTTTCTATAATTTCAGAAGAAAATTCAAGACAGGCTTATACAAAAGAAAACTACTAGAATGACTTTATCCTGCACCATAATATATTTTTGCACTTAACCTAACATTTTTACTGCAGGTACCACATCTTTTTCAAAATAAGAAATTCACATGGGACTTAGAGAGTACAGTTCTTTAGATAGCTCGTCTTTTATTATTATTAGTATTGCACAATAGCCACAGTGCTCATAAAATAGAACAAATCTTATTTCTCTCACTCTTCAAAAAAAAAAAAAAAAAAAAAAAAAAACCACAAACTGATCACAGCAGGCAGGATGGTTCAGCACAGATTCAAAGGAAGGTACAAATGTTCAGTTTTCAAAAGCTCTGCAAAAGCCAACCTCATCTCTTGTCACTGTGGCTATGGCTCTTTGCCAGACATTTGAAAACTGTTGAAAAGTGCTGTTCCTTATAAGCAATTATGAAGAGCTTCACAAAAACAGAAAATGTAATAAAAATCAACTGCTTAAAATGGTCAAATATGCATAGTCCCCAGGTTGCAATACAACATTTAAGAGTTGCCTGGCCTCACCTGAGCCAACACAGATCCCTTAGGTAAAAGAGTTTAAAGGGTTTAAAGAGTGTTATCAAGGGATCTATTGAAACCATCTCAGTTCAAGATGGCCTCAAATATCTCCATTTTTATAAAGATCACAATACAGAGCCATCGTTCTTGAATTTAATTCTTATTCCATCATGCATTTTCTGTTTATATAATTCTTAGGATACTAAATTCCACAAAAGCACCAGGTATTTAATGCTTTTAAAAACGGGCCTAGATATATTGATTTCAAGCTTTAAAGAATGTCCTCTGTTCTAATTTCTAGAATGTGATGAATAATTCATTCTGCCCCATCTCTGCTCACATTCACTGCCAAACCTCTCAGAACTGTCCACACACTCGGCTGCTCTCCACCCTCCTTACCAGCCACTCTTCAGTCCATTCCTAACTGGCTTCTATTCTCTTCGCCCCACTGCAGCTTGTCTTGGTAAAGACCATTAAAGACTTCATGCTGCTAAATACAATAAGCACCCCTTAGTCATTATCTTTCTTCAGTTTATGTTTATTCCACAATTTACCAATCTCACCCTCTTGAAATAACTCTCGCTAGGACTGATGGGCCTTCATCCTTCTCAGGGCCTCCCAACTCTCTATCCCTTTGGGGACTCTCGCCCCTCTATCTGACCTCAGATATTGAACCACCTTTGGGCTCAGTCCTGTAATCTCATCAAATCCCATGACTCTTAAGTATCACTATCATACTGCTGACTCACTCCTTCACATCATTACCCTAGATCTGACTTCTGAGTCCAGAATATACCCTACTGCCTACTCAATGTCTTCATGCTTTATAAACATACTGAACTCAATGTATCCTCAATTGGAATCTTAGATCTTTGCCTCACTTTCTCCTCCAGTGTTTTCCATTCTATAGCCATGTCCTTAGTTATTCCTTTACTCTTACCACATGCATCCAATCACCAAACTTTGTCATCTTTGAGCCTTCAAAATATATGCCCTCAGGAGCCAGAGAGCTAGCTCAGTGGTATAAGTGCTTGCCTGACAAGGGCAAGGTCCCAAGTTCAATTTCTGGTACCAAAAAATGCCCACTAAAAATGTATGTCCAATCTCCCCATCTTTACTATCATCCTCCAGGTCTAGCCCATGTCATCTTCGGCCCTGACACTGCAACAGTGGTCTAAGTGACTTTCTTGAATCCACTCATACTCTCCTCCAATACACACCACACTCACAGTGATACTTTCAGAGACGAAAAATGCCACTGCTTAGCACCTTTCAGTGGCGTCCCACTAGTTTTTAGATAATATTCACAAGGTACCAACTACCTCCAAACAGATCCAATTCATGCTACTATTCCATTTGTTTTCTAAATGCTTCCACATTACACACATGGAAGTTTTTCAGGGTATGGGCTCCTTCTAAGTGCTGTGTCTTTTAACTAGAATATTCTTTTACCCTATCTATTGCTGTGTAGGACAAACACAAGTGAACCTGTGTGTGCATAACCCAAAACCATAGGGTCCACACCCAACTGTCAAATCAGACCAAAAGGACTGAATGTTAAAATACATCAGTGAAACAACATAACAGCAATCCCTTATATAACTTAGGTGATACTTAGTACTGATTCAGGGCTCAAAAAAATCTTATGAAGCAATATTGTTTGCTCTATTTATAAATATCTACTTTACCTCTGAGACAATATTAAGATATTATTTCTATTTTAAGATAAAGTACATTTTTCATATCTTTTCATATCTGATTTTATCATAACTGTATACCATTTCTAAAGAACCACAAATTTGAAATTAGAATTTAGTCCCTGATAAAACATTCAATAAAATGAAATTTTATTTTATTTTATTTATTTATTTATTTTTGCTCCGAATGCCTTCAAGGCATGACTGGCTGGCTTGAGTTATAGGAATCGAACCACAGCAACCTGAGCCTGACGGCTTTGTTGAAGCAGCCACTTAAAGAACTGAGCTAAGGGGCAGGCCCCCTAAAATGAAATTTTAGAAAGTAAAAAAAAAAAAAGACAAAGTACAAAGAGGCTAAGTGACTTAAGATCACAAAAACTTAAAGGCAAAAGTAGAATGCAGGGGCTGGGAATATAGCTCAGTGGCAGACCAAATTAGCACTCTGGAGTCTCGGATTCAATCCCCAGCACCTGCACAAACAAAAAACCCTGAATTCATATTTAGTCCTGTGTGACTGTTGGATTAGCGAACAGTATGACCCCTTGGATTCAACCTTTCCCTTCCATAATTTACATAGTTATTTGAGTACATATGCTATCCTCCACTAGAAGGTAGGGGTCACTTCTATCTTGCTCACTGCTACATTCCTAGCACCCTGAATGGAGTCTACCACATATTTGATGTTCAATATTTACTGAATACCCGGATATAAATGTTTACTGGCCCTTACACAATTATTCTGAGAGTGTAATAGGCTCTACACCTCCTAGTACTGTATACACACAAAAAACCCCACACGAGTGCATACACATGCCCGCGCACACACACACGAACACGTATCTTCTGATGTTAGCTGCAGGCCTGCCTGTCTTCAACAAGCCCGTGGGTCGGTCCCTCGACGTCTTCTCCAGTCCTCACGGTGATAAGGCCCTAGTTCGCGTCTTCTCTTGCCCCCGGGGCACGTGGGCCTGGTGGTCTTTTCTGCCCCTATGTCTCACCTTCCATGTAGGAGAGGGCGCTGCCCCAGTGTCAGGGCCAGACCCGGACTGCGCTCCGGTCCCGGAAAGCATGAAGCGGCCATAGCGCTGCAAAGGCCACTCAGTTGTGTCTCTCTGCAGAACACCGAGGCTTGTGGCGGCTTTTCCCGCTTCCGCCATGTCTGGCTGCCCTCGCGCTCAGCCTGCTGGGACCTGCCAATCAGCAAAGCTAGCCAATCAAGAACCAAAATAACTCAAGGTCCGCCCTCCTCCTTCGTGGAAGCCAATGGGCAGGCTCGAAATGTTCCTGTCCGCAGAACATTCTGGCTTCCTGCCTGATGGGTCTCTAGTGACTCCGGGCACCGGGTACAAGTGTGGTCTCCAGTTATGCCTTAAAGACAGGCTTCATGCTTATAAATGGTAGTAGCTTTCTGCGCTGCAACATTGGAACCCTCACCTTCCCCTGAGCTGCCTGTGCCATTTGTTCTTTAGCAAGGAGGAATTGAGGAATTTCCCAAATGCCTGACTCCCTGGAAGCTGCACAGCCAGGGCCTACACTGGCTTTGTAGTTTTCCTCCTTGCCCCAGCCTTTCAGAAGATACCTCAAATACGTTCACAGCACAGCCCCAATTCCATGTGATTTTGTTCTCATCATGTTGCCCTTGTGAACATAGGTACTTTCATTTTCACTAAGAGGGGAAACAGATGGGTAGGGGGCTGTCAGCAACCAAAGAGCGCTGCCCTCTCAAGGCTCACATTCTAGTGAGGGGCAGGACATCCAGAAAATGACTCCCTGTTTTTAAAGGCCACCGTATTTTCTCTGTAAAGGGTAAAGTTCTAATATCTCTTAAGGCATTTTTATACAATAAAAAGCACAAATCTCAAATGTTCAGTTAGGCATGTTTAATACCTATGTCCATTCATGTAGCCATCATCCAAAACAAGATATGACACCCAAGACAAGCATGTCTTCATCAAACAGCAGGTACAGTTAACTAAAATAAGTTGATGGGTGATTTATAGTCGACAAAGCACTCCACACCTGTTATTTCATTTATCCTCCCAACAACCTTCTGGTAAATTAAAGCATTTTTTTTTTTTTAAAAAAAAAAAAAGATTATTGAATCCATGGAACACATGTAGGCAAAATAAGGCAAAGAATAGATGTGACTTGCCTAACGTTACACAGCCGGTGCCTGGCAGAGCCAGAGTAGAAGTGTGGACAACTCTATAATTTCTCCATGTGTCAATCCCACCTGCAAAGGATTTAGGTATTCATAAAGTTTGTGTCAAGTCAGAAGAAAAGTAAACAGAATGTGGAGGCCGTGTTAACCAAATATGTGAGATCAAATTAAAATGCAAACAATTTTTTAAACTAAACGCATCAAAGGGCACTCCATGTATAAATGACGCTTGGAAAGATGGTAACTTACTCTACAAATCATCAAATATCTACACAGTGCAAACAATTATGCAAGTCAGCATCTGATAAGAGACATAATAGAGATGGGTGATGCGTACATCTAACCTCTGGGAATTGAGGATCTAATAAGGAAGCTAAAGCAAGGTACAAATATACCCATGATACCTGGCAGGTAGTGCCATGTGCTTGAACATTTCAGATAAAGTGAAAATCTTTAAAAAAAAAAAAAAAGGAGAGCGAGAGAAAGAAAATCTACCGACAGACAGAATGGCAGTATTTTTGAGTTAGGACCTGAAGAGTTAGAAAGCTTTCCAGGGGAAGGTAGAGGAAACTGGTATTCTGTATGGAGGGGAAACTGAGGAGGAAAGTTTTCAAGATGAGAGTAATGGCATAACTAGTAAGAATGTGTTTTCTTCTTTGTTGGTGGTGGGGATTAAACCTAGGACCTCATGCATATTAGGCACACACTGTACTACTGAGCTAACACTCCCAGCCTCTGAAGTTGTTTTTTAAAGAAGATGAGGCTACAAAGGTGAGTGGGGGCAAAAGAGCATTGAACAGCTGCTAAGCAGCATGGATTTTATTTGGTGGATGGTAAGGAATGCGGCAAATGTGCCTGGGGAATTGACACTATCCTTGTGGTGGTCCAGCCAGGTTTATCTCTCAGGAGCATTTGGGATAAACTGGATTAAAGGCAAGAGGGATTTGCTATGTATGTTTTCATTAGTCCAATAAGGCTTACTGAAGGAGTCAGATTTCAGAAACAACTGCTGAAGGACTTCAAATGACACAGCACTACTGCACTTAAGTAGTAAATGGTTAAAAGTTTGATTTGGATCCCAGGTCTTTCATTTGCCAGCTGTGTGACCTTGAGGAAGTCACTTACCCTGAAATACAGGGTTATGAAACAACTATTTTACAGGGTCATTAAAGGGATAAAATATAACACATGTAGGAAAAACCCCTAGTCAACTGCAAAGTGGGACCCACATTAATATTTTCTGTTTCCAGGGTTAAAGTGACTTTCCATGGGCTGGCTACAAAGAGGGAGGATGGGAACAAGAGCCTGACCTTGGGTCTCAGAGGCGCTCGCCTCCAGGTCCAGGGCTGCAGCTGCTGTCAAACACCCTTCACAGGAACAGATGGCGCTCACAGTTGGGACCCTGTCAGTGCCCAAGGACACCCAGGGCCCTGCTGGGTTCCCACCTGCAAGCTCCCTTTCTAGACAATGGCACCTGCACTTGAGCTTCTGGGGCCACCCGTGCTGCCAAGAACAGGTCATGTCTGCAGAGGGAGCTGTGATAAAGCCACAGCTCAATGCATGAGACTCATGTGTACTTATAGTATTAATGACGCTCAACGGGACCCAACAGCATATGAAGTGCTGGGGTTACTATAGAGAACCAATCAGAGCTCTGCCCTTTTAAGGCTCACATTCTAGTGGGGGGCAGGGCACCCAGAAAATTACTCCCTGTTTTTAAAGGCCAATGTATTTTCTCTTTAAAAGGTAAAGTTCTAATATTTATTAAGGCATTTTTATATAATAAAAAGCACAAATCTCACATGTTCAATTAGGCATGTTTAATACCTATGTCCATTCATGTAGCCACCATCCAAAACAAGATATGAAATAGTTCTCTCAAACTCTTTGTAACTGCCTCCTTCAATTAATCTCCATCCAACAAGGGCAACTCCATTTTTATCACTATGGCTTAGCTTTCCTGTCCCAGGACTCCATAAACATGAAACTGTGTCCTGGGATCATCCCTCAAATTACGTGCCCTTGAACCTTTGTTCCATGGTCTACTTCTGAGGGCACCAAACCAAGATGGAGAGAAACCAGAACCACAATCCTACTGCCATGCAGTTGGTTTTAATATACATGCATATAAGAAGATGGTACAAGAGGCATTGAGAGGAGGGAGTTATCATTGTCACCCGAAGAAGACCCTCTGCTGCTGACAATGCAGTAGAATAGCAGCATTCATGGTCCACACTAATGAATGACAGGCGACGATGGGCTAACACATCCCCCTCTTAGGAGACTGTTGCCAGGTAGAAAAATCTAGCCTTTGAAATTTAAAGAAAAAATATTTTTATTATAGTATAGATCCTCTCTATCCCTTCCTCTCTGTATCACTATTTTGCAGTTGAGTCATGAGCATCATTCTTGGAGGTACATGCAGAACTTATTTTGGAGCTAACATAACCCTTTTAAGGCAGACCAGGGACCCTAGACATCCATCCCCTCTTCCGGAGCTATTGAGTCAGCAGAGGGAATGATGACTTCAGTCTCCTTGGGTTCTCTAGTTGACAGGATGACAGAGAAACCCACACTTTTGCTTTGTCTGCCATGTCTCTCAGCAACAGCATATAGAGTGGCTGGGGACTTCAGGGCATGGCTGGTGGCTGCAGAGTTTCCAGAAAATCCCCACTCACATCAGGGAGGCCAGAGGAGCTGTCTCTATAACATCAGGCCTGGGGATGCTGTGTAGGAAGAAGATGTTATCCTGGAACTTTACATTCACGGCTAGAAAGCAATTTTCTTTCTCCTCTGTATCTTTCACGTGTGAAAACCAGCTGCTCCATTGCAGGTAATTGAAAGGATTTCAGTGTAACACAAACAATCCCAACTTGTCCACAGGCTGCTGTTGATCAGCACAACACGAAAAGAGAGTAACACTGATTTTTCCCAATTATTAAAAGCACAAAGAACTATAAGCCAGTAAAAAAAAAATCTTTGCCAGAAGGTAAATTGGAGAGCACACTTTATAAAGCTGGGTTAGAATCAGAAATAGGAACTTGAAGCAAATCCTACAGGAAGACTATAAACTCACACCTTGAAGACAATGACTATATTTTTTATTATGTTAGCCTCCAGAGTTTCTGGCACAGGGTAGGTTTTTAATTGTATTTTAAAATGAAACCTCTGCAAATGTTAATATGGAAGAGATAAAGGGGATGATTTAAAAATCACTTTGTAAGTACGAAGGGCTAATGTGGAACAGGCAGCTAATAACCCTCTCCCATCTTTATATCCATGTATATTTGAGCTCACATTAAAGATAAGGAACACTGTATAGTATCTAAGTACCTTCATTTAGTGGTTGTTATATTGGGAAATTCCTAACCCTGATACCCACAGATGCAGAGTCAAACTCAGGAGCAGAGACCCCCTTGAAATCTTTTCCAGTTTGACTCATCATTTATCCCAGTATTCGCTTCCCAACCCTGGAGAAGTCATTTAATCCACGTCTCTGTTCAGTGAGACTTTCGGACTTGCAATTTACACCTCAGAGGACAGATGAAAGCATCATAAAGAAAATGCTTTGTGCTGGCGAGTGACTCCACAAAAGCCTTTTGAGTTTAGTTGTTGAGAATAGTTTGGATAATTTAGGCTGTAGCCGTGGAGACGACGCCTCCAGCAGATAGGACTGGCAGAGGTTGAGAGGTCAGAGTTTTAGTGGGACCGCTGGCTATGAGCAAGCTTTAGCTCAGAGGGAGTTACAATATGTTTCAGATGAAAATCCTTCCCCAGAAGGGTGTTTTTCGTGGCGTGGTTTTATCCAATTGACTAATTTGTCCATTTATTGAGTGATGATGTGTGGGACTCTGTGTCAGTAAGATGACAAAGATAGAAATCTGAAGAGGATGTAGCTTTTTTCTTGACAACACTGAGGAAGTCTGCTAGGGAGACACCCACAAAGACAAATAATTTGAAATATAATGTGGTGATATTCAATACAAATAGGATCCA